ATCAGTGCTCTGAAAGTGAAAATGTGGGGAGGGGGTTGATTTTGAGGCTAGGCACATTTATTATGTCAAGAATTTGCTGATATTAATAAATTGAAGAAACAAAACAGAAGCTGCAACATTTCCATTCAGTATTCCTGTGATCCGTGTTGTCTGCAGTGTTTCAGAGTTTAAACAGTTCTGAATACCCTTATATACAAAGCAGACACTGTACTGTTGTTGTGTTTCATTACAGTAGGATGGCTTTGTGTCCAGTGAGATCTAGTGAAATAGTACATGCAATAATATTGCCTTCCACCTTTCTGACAAAGGTGTAAAATTTCCACCCTTTTCTCAGAAGCTCCACTGTTTGTCTCGATTGATCCTTAAACCCAACAGACATCTTCTGGTGAGAGAGCTCATCTGCTGTGTCAGTGGAGTACTGATTTATGGAGAACAGTGTTGATGACTGCCATTGGTCAGTCAGGATACCTTAGCAGTCCCTGACCTTGAAATGTCTTCAGCATTAACAAAGTCCTTGAAGGCTGAATTTGGCAAAAAGACATTGATTGAAATTGAGGTGGAAACAGAGAGAACTCCCAATGCTAAGTCTGTACCTCAATATCAAAACCCACAAATATCAAAACCCACAAAGCTGGCTTGCTGTTGAAACAGTGTGAGTCAATAAGCAGCTTTCGTTTTTTGGATAGAAATACATGTTTGATTTGTGAATTTGGGCCATATATTTTTAAACCTTTGTTAGAGGAAACTCATGTGAATGGAGCAGTTCTTAATGAAATCTTGTTGAGGGGAACGAAAAGTCTGGTGGTAATCTTGTCTTTAATCAAGAAATGTAAAAGAGTTACATCATCTCAACACAGACTTCTGTTTTGGATTTTTTTCTGGACTGGTTGGAGACGGTTTGGCCTTGAGCAGACTTTGAAACCAGACCGTACTTTTCTGCAGCATCACTGAACACAATTAATCTCGGGAAAATGTGTGAGTTTATTTAAGCCAGACCGATGGAATTGTTTGGTTTCCTGGCTTCTCGTTCTGCCAGTGAAGAGCTGATTAGGGGAATTATGTGTCTAACGGGGGTGGTGGGAGAGTCCGTGCGAGAACGAGTTAAAAGAAAATCAAGAGCAACTTCCAAAACAAAAAGGTTACATTTCACAAACAGTGCCTGCAGTACCTGCTAATTTCCTTCAGTTTAGTAAACAGTTCTTAAAACTGGCCTGTCTGAAAGTGTGAGCTGTGAAAAAGTGAGTTTCAAGCCCTTCTTTGCCTGGTGTTGAACAACAAAGCAGCGACTTCAGACGGAGAGTTTAGGGGCCAAATCAGCTGCAATTTGTTACCGTATCTGCAGGGCGTGAAGGGAAAAGAGGAGGAATGCCGAGCATTCTCAGATAGGCTCCCTCAGCACCTGGCCATGGGAATTAGCCAGCCACAGCAGGGAAAGCCTTATGAGGCTGGGTGCAAGATGGAGCAGTCACGGCCATCTTGACAGGATGAACTTTGACCCCACACTGTGCCCAATGACGGGCGCCGGAGGGGCCGGCGATCCCCACGGGGAAGGGGAACAGACGGACAAGTAGACCTCAAAGCTTCTCGTTGGGCTGCAGGAAGGCAGGGGAGATTTAGTGGAACCAGCATCAAACAACAGAGGTTACAGAAAGTGAAAGAGCACAGGTGCACGCTCGCAAACTTCTGCCTCATTCCGCGGTTCGGTGCCTTTAACAGGTGTTTAAGGCCATTGGAAATCGAGCCAAGGAACCCTTTGAATTGGCAGACGCGTATTCCACAACATGTTTCTTAGCGCACAGTTCTAGGGTTTGCCCGACAGTATAATTTTGCCTGTTTTCACTAGGAACGTTAATTATACCTCTGCTGCTGCAATCCGCTCGCTTTGTTTGTTTTTCGCGATATTTTGAATGCAACGGAATCATTATTTGCTAAATTAATTTCTAAGGAGAAAAACTATGCTGCTTCCCTCAGCCAGATGTTGTTTATCGAAAGGAACCGCTCAGATCCAGATCTGATCAAAAAAACAACAACTTACAAATAGGGCCAGTTTTGATCCTATCTCTTAGCAATCTCATACTGTTGTTCCATTTGTGTAATTTGTTGTATAAATCCTGCTACAGGCTGAATGTATTTTAAGAAATGTCTACGACTAGATTTTACATTTTAATTGCACAAGCGTGCCTCCTAGATAAATCAGTTGGCAGTGGTCTGTTTCAGTTCAGTTTTGCACCTCATGCTGTGTGAAACTGTGCTGAAAATGTGTCATTAGGTAACAGCGGTTGGAGATCCAAACTCCTAACCCATCATTTGTGACATGTATTGTGTGACCCCTGCCCCTTGTGGCTTTTCTATTTTGCAAGCGGAGAAATGACCACAACATGCACATAAACCAAATAAAACAATTCCTCATCCGATGCAATTTCTAAAACATTTCCCACTGTTAAAGGAAAAATTTTACAGTTGTGAGAGATTAAGACTCTGAAAAGGAAATACTTGTGTGCCAGTCTGAAGAGTGGACTGGGTAAAGTTTTATGACGTTTGGTTATGAAGAAAAAAGCTAATTATCTGGAAAACACCACATTAAAAAGATAAAATACAGTGCCTCTATGTAAAAGGCCTAAATTACTTGTTAACACTGTCCCAGAGACAACATAAGAACAATTGCAAATGAGAGGAAGTCATCTAGCCCATTTGGTAGTTTAAGTAATTAACAATATATGTAAATAATTAATTGATCCGAGGATCTCATCCAGTCGTTTGTTGAAAGAAGCCAAGCTGTTTCCTTCAGTGGCTGAGGCTAAGCGGCTTGTGGCAGACTCAGTTTTCAATGCACCAGAGCCTTGAAAATAACAATCTAGTGATCTGAAAGTGGTTGTACTAGGAAGTAGGGAATGAAGTGTTTCAGCACGTGGATGAGTGCAAGCACGCAGGGGACATGTATTCTCCTTTAGAGGTTATAAAGAGATGATTGAGCTGATAAAGGACAGTGCCAGCATTTTAATATATCGCAATGCTCATTATTACTGGCTGAGTGTTTTATATTTTCACAATGGGGTGTGTTGGTATTGGCTACAAGCAGGCTATTAGACTAATTGGAAGAAATGAAAATGTGTGTACGTCCCAGGCATTGCTTATTAATTCAGACAAGCATAGCACCCTTGGAGAGCGAAAGGTGTTACTTGTACCTACACTGGCAATAATGAAGTCCAGAGGCCATGACTTATTGAGAAAGGATTGCAAAGGAAAAAAAAACCTGTTTGCTGAGGGTAAATTAAGACCCTGTGGTAAACGTACAGGAACACAAGGACAAAAATGTGAAGAATCTCCCAGTTCTTTTGCTTTTAATTAACCCCTTTTACTTTTGTTCAAGTTTGGAATGTTTAGTCTCGTTTTTGTACCCATATTGTGAGCAGGAGTCTCCAAGAATAGAGGCTGTCCTCTGTTGTTATGTATTGGGCCAGAGCTCCCTTTGTCCTTATAATCATATAGAAGATGAGGATGAATAATTACAGCCAGGAGGATGGTGCTCAACTCAGGTGATCTCCGTCTTTCCTTTGCTGATTATTATTCAACACATTTTGCTTTCCATTCCTGTCATTTTCCTCTTCTGTAACATTATAATTACATGACCGAGCAGCTGCAGCTAGTGTTCCTATGAAAAGAACACTAAAACAAGACTATTTTGGGAATTGCAGGATGAAAACTCCTATGTAAAGTAATATTTTCTGGATGGTCTGATCATCTGGTTGTCTTATTTTGAGTAAAACTGCTTTGACAGAGATGTTAAACAAAAGTAGTATCAAGTATGTTTTATTGAGTACAATGTAACAGGAGTCTGCAGCTGATAAAAGTTACATATTTGCATGGTGTCTTAATCGTATGCTTGTAATCTGAGGACATTGCATGCTTGTATTTCTCTGCTACAAAAGAGAAAGGGTGATGTTTAATGTTAACTGTAGGACCTCTTGGACATATCTTGAGGGATTGCAGGTGCAGCATTTAAAATGTGAGTATTTTCAAACATGATAAAACACAAGGGGCAGCACATTGACACAGTGGTTTGTATTGCTGTACTGTGACACCCGGGCCCTGAGTTCAATTCCTGGGCTGCTGTCTGTGTGGAGTTTGCATGTTCTCCCCATATTCACTTGGGGTTAACTCCGGGTGCTCTGGTTTCCTCCCACAGTCCTGAGACATGCTGGTGGGTTAATTGGTGAGCGTGTGTCTAAGCTTGTGTCTGTGTGCGCTACGATGGACTGGTGCCCACCCAGGGTGTGTCCTGCTGTGTACTCATTGCTTGCTTAGTTGGGTCCCAGCTCCCCCTCGACCCTGACTTGGATAAATCAATTAGAAGATGGATAGGTAGACACTGTTTTAGATGACATGGTTAACATATCATCACCACTTAGATAACATGTTTTACATGCAAGGAAAGTGGTTATCCCTCCGCAGGGAATTGAGTACTTGGTAGTTTTTTTTCTTCCAGGGCAGATTAAAGGGATCTTAGTTTTCCATGCTTCACAAACACATTTAAAAGGGATATAGTAAAGCAATCCACCTCCTGCGCAGATGCTCCTCTCCACCAGGGCCGGATTTTGGTGTTCGTAGGCCCTGGGCACTTGCAAAAAGAGGGGTAAACGCCAATTGAATGACGTCGATTGACATGATGCGCTTTAAACTCTTCTCATGCTAAACCACATGATTGATGGAGAGAGTCGAGCGACCATCACTTCGATACTTCTAGTTTCTAGAAGAGCCGCTAGATAGCGTGTGATTATTGATTTGGAGCACCTAGAGTCGATCGCAAGCCTGTTTGGTTTCAGCTCGTTTTTTATTAGTCACTAGTGTTTCCCTCCTTCGTAGGCCCTAAAAATACCGTAGGTCTTGGGCGCTGTGCCTACAGTGCCTTATGGGAAAATCCGGCACTGCCCTTTCACTGGTCTGCTTGTCAAGGCAGAAGGACCTGATGCCTTTCCTCTGTTCCTGTCTCTCCCTTGCAGCCTGTGACTGCCACCCAGTGGGCGCCGCCGGCAAGACCTGCAACCAGACGACGGGGCAGTGCCCGTGCAAGGATGGGGTGACGGGCATCACCTGCAACCGCTGTGCCAAGGGCTACCAGCAAAGCCGCTCCCCGGTAGCTCCTTGCATCAGTAAGTCTCAATCCTCTCTTTACTGGAGAACATGAGGAGGTCTTCACCGTGAGGCGCACCTGTTGTTACTCTGCCGTTCAGAGCTCGGTCTTCTGTAACCAGCACACATAAAAATGGGGATTGGACTCAAGTGTTCCAAATCCCAAAAGGCGTTGTCCCAGCCAACCCAAAGGACTAGAAATTCACCAGTGAAATGAGGACAAAAGGCAGTTCAATTGCTGGGGCATTTAGAACAGAAAACCAGAGACGGGTCGGTACGCAAAGAGTGGTTGGGGTCTGGAACGCACTGCCAGGCTGTGTTATTGATCCTGACTCTATGGGATCCTTCTGGAGATTCCTTGAAGTGATTATTGGGCCAATAGGTTCTTCAGATATCAAACACGGAGAAAGAGACAGACTTTATGGCCTCCTCTCATTTGTGACATGTCAATATGCAATTATTAAAGCAAAATATTTTTGCTTTAAGCAGTTAGAAGATGCACACTTGTATCACTCCTTTCTGTTTTGGTTTGTCCAGACTGTTTGATTTCTACATTGCAAGAAAGTCCTCCATCTTCATATCGGCCCTCATTTCATCTGTGTGTATTTTTTCTTGAGAAAGATTCAGGTGGCTGCTTTGATTTCCATCAAACGTTGGAACTAATCCAGAGCTAGCAGGACAAGTGACAGCTGCAGTAGTGTCCCAGCTCACAGACATAATTTGGATGTTTGCCGCTGTGCTTGTGCAGCCAGTCAGGTGGAGTGAAGTGGGGATCAGCAGGAAATATACTGGAGTGTGTGAGCAAGATGCTGAGCTGGAGGTACTGGAGGTACTTGAGGTTGGGCCTGTGGGCAGTAAAGTAATCTGGTCTCACAGGCTTCCAGCACATCAGAGCCTGAAAGTGCTTTTTCATGGTCCTCTAAGACACCTGCTAATCCTGAGGACGTTTGTCATGTACGTTCCAGTAGCACCGCTGTCACTAGGACATGTGGCATAGTCAGTGATAGTGGCAACATTAAACCAAAAGATAAAACTAGATGAATAGATTAGTGCATCTTGTTTTGTCCTTTGTTTGCGTGCCTCGCCAGACAAAGGCTTTCAGTGTCGTTTACAAGCGATCCATTGCTGGTAGATCAACCTGAGCAGTACCAGGGATTGAAAAGACGTCTCGCCCGCGGGAGGAACGAGAAGGGAGCTTTGCGATGAAGCCCCCCCTTTGCTCATGGGTGCGGGCGGGAAGGGGTACAGGCATTCCCCCCTCCTCCATCCTCTCCAGGGGAGAGGCCTCACCTGTCTCGCCAAATTACGACTTAAGCTGAAAATCGTGCGTAAAAACTATTAAGAGGATAAAGGGGGTGATCTGAAATTAGAAATGACAGCAGGAAAATAGGCAATATAAATGTCTCCTTTAGCTTGCAGGAGGAGAAGAAAACTGGAATTGGCTTGCCCTGATAGATGTAAGTCAGTCTTTTCAGGGGTGTCACTTTCATGTTGTCTGCCTGTTCCCTCAGGGCGCAGTAGCTCTCCGCTATTGTGTGCGGAAACTTTACAGCCCTTTACTACTGCACAGCGGCAGCGTTCCTGACGGAAAGACACTGCAGTCCCTGCTCTTTCCCAGCTGGGATGTTTCGTCCAGCTCTTCTTGGACTGGAGAGTGCGGGTTCTTAGGGGGACTCTGGAAGTATGTGCTTATCCGTGAGGCTGCAGGACAGGAGGCAGAACTTTGCCCAAAGAGTTGTGGGAGTGTGGAGCGCACAGCTGGGTTTGGAGGGGCTGAGAGGAGGCAGTGCAGAACTCCTGGCAGAGAAACTGAGAGAGGCTTACTTGCGGGACTGTGCCATTCAGTGCTGCTTCGCTGAACTGGGGGCAGTTGGCAGAAGTGAACTGGCGCGACATCGGCCACTCATTGTGTGGTTTATATAATAATTAACTTTATTTTTATATAGCGCCTTTAAAAGTGGCTTCTCACAGCACTTTAGAGAACAACAAAAAAATACACATTGAGAGGAGATGGTAGAAGGGCGTATGGAAAACACCAGCAAAAGCAAAGGGGCACGGAGAACCAGTTCAATAAGAGGGAAGGTGCCTCTCTGATATCTTGAGGGATCGAGTTCCAGAGCTCTGGGGTGCAGTAGGAGAAAGCCCTGTCACAGAGCAGACAGGAGACCAGAATTAGAAGAGTGAAGACTGCTAGGTGGGGAGTAGGACAATAGTAGCCCAGAGAGGTACAATGGTGCCGCGCCATTTTGAAGTCGACACAAAACCTGACAGGAAGCCAGTGCAGGGACTCCAGGATAGGAGTGATGTGATCATTAGCACTAGACCTGGTCAGGATTCTGGCTGCCGAATTGTGTGGTTTCCACCAGCCTGCCTAGCTTATTCTCAAGGGAGTGAACATCTTGCAGAAAGAATGAATGTACTGGCAAATAAACCACAGAGGTGTTTTTGTTGAGGGCTTTGTCACCAGGTGCCTGCTAGGAGCTCTCATTTCCAGCAAATGAGGTGCAGAGAGGGGCCAGAAAAAAACCCAGTGTAAGGTAGAAAAGAGCACAGCATTTAGCTTTTGGAGTTGTTTTAACCATCTGGCCTGCTGTGCAAACAAGACTGAAGGCACACCTCGTAACACAGGAAGATTGCTGGCATGTTTTGAAAGTCCCATGTTTAATTTGGGGAGGTAGATACACAGCAATTTCCAAGAACTGCACACTCTCTTGAATCAAATACAATACAGATGCGGGGAATTTGGAGAACTCCATGTTCAATAACAACTGCTTTTGGAAGAACCAAGCAGGGCGTGTTTCAGATGACTGTGGACTGTCTGCAGATCACAGTAGGTCACAGTGGAGCTCTGGAAAATCATATTTGTGTGACATTTGTACCTGTGCTATATGTTTTTGCTGTGTTTCAGAAGATGCCAGTGGAATGTTTTGGAAAACTGAGGCTGTAACTCCTGTTAAGGGAGTTATGTTAAAGTTATTCATAATGGCAGCATTATAATCTCGGGTGTAAAAATTCTTACTTCCTGCCTAATGTTACAGCTGTATCACTTTTTGTTCAGATTTTCACACATTTCAGCAGGATCCCTGGTGCAATACAGACCTGATATCTCCAAAGAGGTGATAGGTGATGCATTTCTGCAATTTAACAACGATTGCTTTTTACAAATTTGTTCTCTGCTGTTAAAAATTGGCTAAAACCCCCAATATCCCTTTGGTCATTGTCTTGACTATTCATTCCTGTATGTTACTGTACTTTCTTTTGGTTTCTTGATAATTCCCTTCTTCTAAATTTTTTTTTTTTGTATGACTCCCACTCTCGAGAGCTGTTTCTCACCTGACCCTTTTTTGGTTTCCTGCATTCATATTTACATTGTTTTCACCCCCTCAAACAATCCTGGCATGTTGTCAGTTTCCCTCTGAGCCAAATTTGGATCGACTAATGTTAGCTGAAAAATTACACTTAATCCCATAATTAATAGGAGGAATGTGTGGACTTCTAGGTCTGGTCTGCCTGCAATGTGTTACACGGTGTGTCAGCCGTGTGTGCGTGGAGTGCGCCACTTGTTCTGTGTTGTAGGGTGGAGTTCACAAGGGTGGTGGTGGTATCTGTGGAAATCCCCTTTTTCATGTGTTGGTCTGCCCCATACCAGGACAGTGAGTTTACCAAGTGAAGACATCTTAACCCCTCCAGTTCCTTTGTGTGGAAGAATTGGAGAGAATCATTGTCGAGAATAGTATGTGGAGCATTGGTTCTGGTTCTGGACCGCTAACTGTAAGGTTGTGGGTTCAAATCCCAGGTGAGACATTGCTATTGCTATTGTACCCTTGAACAAGGTAATTTACCTAAATCGTTGCAGTAAAATATCCAGCTGTGCAAATATAATTTGCTTTGGCTAAAAGTGTGAACTAAATTAGTAATTAGTTTTCTGTGTAAAGAGTACAATATTAGATAGTCTTTGGGAAAAATGAAGGTAAGACACCCATTGCAGCTTTTATGAGCTGCAGGCTCTTGTAAATTGAACTAATGAAATAGAAAAGCAAACATTTTCCATATTATTTTAACTCCCTGTGTCTGTCAGTGCAGATTTACTCAGAATACGGTAACGAGCATGAAATATTCAGCAACCAGCACTGGCAAACGCACAACAGCCTGCAGCCCAGGGTAAAGCATAACATCGTCGAGACTGCAGGGCCATGGGAGTCATATTTCCAAGGCTGATTTTGTAAATAATTTTGAGAGATGATTGAGTATAACAATATATATTACCGTAATGGTGGACGGCCTGCAGCTCACAGGCCACATGCAGTCCATGGAGACATAAATTAGGGTTACCAGGCCCCTCTCAATACAAACCCAGTTTTACTAAGGCTGGAGGTATATTACCCAGAAGACATAAATTAAAGACTCTTGCACTTTTGCTTTTTGTTGTTACGGTAGGTTTGTTGTGGTCCTTGAGGTTGAGTGAGGGTCAAAGTGGTGACCGACCTGTCTTTTTATGTTAAGACCAAAACACGCAAGAAAGGTTACAAATTAGAGCAGGATATTGGGCCCATATAGCCTGTCTGTAGCTCGTTGATCCCAAGACCTCATCTGGAAAGAAACCAGGATATCAGCTTCAATAACATGGCTGGGGAGCTTTTCTCAATACTTTTCTCCACCCTCTGGGTAAAGCAGCATCTCAGTTTCAAATGCACTTCCAAGTAGTTTCCACTTGCGTACTCTGGTTCCACTGTTCACACTGAAGAAGACTGCTCAGTGCCTTTGAAGTCTTTACTTGTATTTGGTCCCCTCATAATCTTCTCCATCTCAAGAAAGGTTGAGTTCTTTCAGCCTGTTGGTGAAGGACCTTCCCTCAAGCCCTGGCATGTATCTGGTTTCTCCTCGCTGGGCTGATTTGCAGACTGTTTCATCACGTGGGCAGGACAGTTGTACACAATACTCGGAAGAGAGGCCCGTTTGAATTCTACGCTTGTCCAGCATTGCAGCAAAAAGAAACAAAACATTGACCGAGCATTTCGTGCTGCGTCCTCAGAAAATCTGCAGGATTCTGCGTTTTGGCCTTAAGCTTGCATCTCAAAATTCCAACGGCACGTGCATGTTGGTGGTGGTGGTGGAGGAGGAGGAGGGTGTTTAGTGTTCTGTGTTGTCACTGAAGTTTCAAAAGCCTCGGCCGTGTCCTGTCGTGACTTTGTGTGCTGATGATTCTCTCCTGCTCTTCATTCACAGAGATCCCGGTAGTGAACCCCACTGCAGTGATCAGCAGCACAGAGGAACCCGCAGGTCAGTGCTTTCAGACTCCTGGCTGATGTCTCCATTACAGGCAGATCACTGAATGTCCTCCTTCTTACAAAACCCTTGAACTTTCATTGCATTACCAAGCTTCTTGTGATGCGATTAGCCATCATGTTTCTCCCTCTGCCTAGCGGTGGCTTAATTTTTCATGCATGTGGTACAGTACCTTCCCACAATGAGCACAATGTCCAAGTCCTTCATGACGCCCGTTAACATTGGGGCATAGTTAAGAAAAAGTGCAAGGGTAAAATACTTCAGGGAATGCGATTTCTTTGAATTCATTGAAAGCAGACACAGTTTACATTAGGGCTTGAAAAACCCTGAATCCAAAGAGCTGCAGGAAGCTTACAGGGCGAATGGCAGTTCTGCTAGTGCCATTTTTTTATTGTAGAAACAAATTGTGCACAGAAAATGTTCACCAATGTGTAACATGTTGGCACAAGTTTTCACAGAGCCATTCTGAAAGCCATTGCTTTATTGCTTCAATCCATTTCTGTATCACTGAGCTAGCTGATCTGTCACCAGGACAATTTCTCTTTCTGTGCCCCATTGATCTATTACTGAGTTATTAATGAAGCAGGTCTAGGGCCATTACAATGTGTGTTGATATTTTTCTTTCTGACAGCTTCATCCCCATTATGTGAAACTGGTCAATACTTACTGAGACCGCATACCTGTCAGTGCAAAACTGTTGCAGTGCAGAATGTTGATTTACAATGGGGATCCTTCATATGAAAGTCTGTGTTGAAGATTCACTGCTATGCCTTAACACTGCAGCTGTAATAAAGGGTCTGTGCTGAAAGAGCTGTATTAGGAAGGAGAAATAAAGGTGAAGGAGAGGTCACCTCCTTTTTGTACATAAAAATTGAGTTATTATCAACATGGCTCAGCAGTTTCTTCACTATTTTGGAAGAAGACTATGGCATTATCCAGTTGCATTTGTGATCAAACACTTATTTGTTAATTTATTTATAAATTATTGCAATCGATATGATGCCATCAGGAACTGCCTCTTCTCCCTCACCTCACATGCGGAGTTAGTGATATGGCATTGCTCCTGTTTGGTCACAGAAGAAAGACAGAGCCAGTAATGTTTACTCCATTGAAGAATATTACAGTAACTGCAATGTAAAAAACACAGCAGCTATATCGCTCTGCAGCTCACAACTGGCAGCTCACTGGAGCTCAGCAGGTATGAGCCTGGTCAGAACCTGTAGGGGAGAGCTGCTGGAAAAGGTGTTAGT